CTTCTTCTTCCTCTTCTTCCTCTTCTTCCTATTCTTCTTCTCCTTTCTTCTTCTTCTTCTTCTTCTTCTTCTTCTTCTTCTTCTTCTTCTTCTTCTTCTTCTTCTTTCTTCTTAAGAAAGACTACGTTGCACCGTTGGGCGTTCCTGCGCGCCCGCGCGTTCGCCGTCGCGGCTTGGCGCGCGCGAGATCGCGTGCCCGGGCGTCCTCGCGCGGGTTCTGCGGAGGTGTGGAGAGCCTCCCCCGGGGGCAGCAGGATCGGTTCTGGATTCTGGATGGTCCCGGTCGGGGGCCACATGTGAACCCTACCCCTACCCCCCCCGATTTTTGAGGGGAGGGTGGGGTTCACTTCGCTCGGGAGCTCCCGAACGAAGTGAACCCCACCTTCCCCCTCGGAAATCGTGGGGGGTAGGGGTAGGGTTCACATGTGACCCCCTACCCAGGGTTTGAGTGCGGCCCCCATCGGGTGGACGTTGAGGCGGGGGTGGGGGTAACCCAAAGGGGGGTTGAAAGATGGGGCCCTCGAGGATCCCTGCAGGGCTCCCTGTGGGCCCCGGAGGGCGTTCCAGGGGACTCTTACAGGGCCCCTGTAGGGCCCCTTTCGTCCCCCCCCCCTGCAGGTTCCCCTTCCCCAACGGCCCCCCCCCGACCCCAGGAGCCGAAACGGAGGAAAGACAGCCGACAGGCGAAAGCCGACGAAAGCCCATCTTCTTCTGGCTCTCCTTCTCGCCCCCTAACAGTCGAGGTCGAGATGCGACGGTGCGACGAGCATCCCCGACGAAAATGCGAGAGTCGAGAGTCGACGCGGAAGTTCCACGCGTGGGCCTTCTTCTGTCGGAGGCCTAGAGGTTGCGGTGTGCCTCCACCGAGGGAAGAGTGTCCCGATCTCGGTGATGGTGGTCATCTTCTGGCTTCCTGGGCGGCCGAAGGATCACCACCAGCGCTGACGGCGAGGCACCCCCCGGTGTTGGTGTTGGTGCCCATCTCCGGGCCCCCAATTCTGCCCCTCCCCGCGGCGACCGGGCCGCGATCCGCAGCGCGCCCCCCTCGGCTCCAGTCGGTGGCCGGGCGACCGCGGGGTCCCCCCGCGCCCAGAGGGGTTCGGTTTGTGCTTTCGATTCTCTGTCGGCGGCGAGCCCGCGGGCGGGCGCTGGGGACGGCCAGGGCGAGGGGGCTTGGATCGGCGGCGAGCGAGGGGGGGGGGGAAAGAGAGAAGGAGAGGGGCCTCAGAGGGTCTGAGAGGTCCCCCCGGGCCTGCCGAGAATTTTTCCGGGCCTTCCCCGCAGGCAGAAGCCACTTCTCGGGAGGCGCGGGGGCTCGGAGAGGTCCCGCCGCCTGCTGAGAGGGCCCTCGCCTTCCCAGTTCCCCCCCCCCCCCTCGCTCGCCGCCGGCTGGAGCGCCGTCGTCGCCACGGCGGCCACGGCTGGCCCCTCTGCCTCTTCGAGGCCCGGGCCGCGGCGCGCCCCCGGGGAGCAGCGGCATGGGCGGCGAAAGCCGAGAGGGGGGCTCCCAGGCCTCCCGGGTGGGGTCCGAGTGGATGGGGCCGGGGAGCGAGGGGGGGGGGGGCGCCTTCCCTCGACTAGACGTACGGTGGAGACCCATGCCAAGGAACACCCTGCTTGCCTCCAGGGTGCCCTGGGCTCCTTGGGTTCCGATGGTTCTGCTGTGGACAGCGCGACGCCCCCACGCCCAAAATTAGTGGACGCCCCGTGGTCTCAGGGCTGGGCTTCTTGTGGAAGGTTTCTGATGGACTGGCCTCCGCTGTAGACTCAATTTGAGCGTGTCCCCCTACGGGAGGAAAACTCAAGAACAGTCAGACTTTGCCAGGGGACGATGTTTCGATTTTTTTTTGCTCTCGGGAAACTTCTCATATCCGTCCGAAAACCGCCTGTACGGGGGACGTGCCCGACCTGACTGCAGACGCTCAGGAGAGGAAAAAACACACAGACACAATTAATCGTCGATTCCCAGGAAAATATAGGAAAATATGGGAAGTGGGGGGGAAGACAAAAACCCAGAAAATATATGAAAATATGGGGAATCCGGTTATTTGTGTGTATTGATTTGTGTGTCCTGGGGCCCCTTCAGACGCGGCCGTTCGCCGCAGTGGCCTCTGGGTGCGGGCCCAGCCGCGGCCCTCGAGGGCCGCAGGGGGCGCCCCGCCGCGACGGCCGCGGCCGGCGCGCCCTGGGCCGGGGCCGCCCCGCGTCGCCCCCGCGTGAGGCCCCCGCAGGCCAAGAGGTCGCTCGCTGCCCAGGGGTCGCTCGTTGCGTGCCGCCGATTCTCCCGAGGGCTCACGTTCGGAGGGCATCAACTATACACCAACACCGATCCTGGCCCAGGATCACCCTGGGCCCAGGATCGGTGTATATGCCTTCTTGCGCAAGGCAGGAGGGCGTATACACCGATCCTGGGCCCAGGGTGATCCTGGCCAGGATCGGTGTTGGTGTATAGTTGGTGCCTTCCTACACGTCGGGCAGGCCTCTCCACAGGAGAAGTGCTCGACCGGCTCCAGCCTCGAGCGCCAACCGACTCTAGCCTTGATCCCGCGCACCAGGCTTCTGATGCTCCGAGCAGCTTCGGCCCTGCTCGCCAGCAAGAGTGTCGACCGCCAAGAGAGGACCGAAACGTGAGGGTGTCCGCGTGCCGTGTCCTGGGAGGCGAGACTCCTTCGGCACTGTTTCGATACTTTCCTGGGTGCTCGAAATTGTTCAGGAGGGGAAAAAACACGCAGACACAATTAATCGCCGATTCCCAGAAAGCATGGGAACATATGGGAAGTGGGGGGGAGGACAAAAAATACAGAAAATATAGGAAAA